TTCTTCCTTCTCTATATACAACTATCTATATCCTTCTTTCAAATGCCCCAAAAAAGCGCCATGAAAATCGACTTCTGACTGCTCAAACAAACGACCAATTAACGAAAGAGAAGGCTAGGCAGTGGACACTTTCCTCTTCAGCTGCCACAACTTTCCACACGACAGCTTGTTCATACGACACCTGGCGGCCCATTGTCGACACGCAGAATCCACCTAACAAGTAAGCATATCCCTGCAAATGCAATCAACAAAAGAAAATGTAGTTATTATTGGTAGAATTATGCAGAGGATAATTTAGCTATTCAACAGAAGAGATTGGAGATCTCCATGCCATCTCCTTACTCCGGTGGTGATCTATATGTGTGGTGGTGGTCTATATGTATGTTGGTGGCCGGCGGGAGAGATCCGGTGATGGATGAATCTAGAGGCCGGCGGATGGTCGGATCTGCGACCAGACATGGTAATGTATACATATATAATTATTTTTAATAAAATAAATTTTCTTTGATTCATATTTTTAATGTAAGAATTAAATCATATTTTTTTTTATCCAGGTTTTAAATAGCGGGCTAAAACGTTTATTGCACTGTAGCTATAGCGGAGATTTAGCGGGATTTAGCGGCTAAATTGCACATGAATACAAATAGCGGCACGCTGCCAAAAAAAACTATTTCTCAAATAGCGGCAACTTTAGCGAGCTATTTATTTCCTTGTTTTTTATAGAAAAAAGATATAATTTTAATTTAGTTTATACAATTTAAACTATATAAATTGTGTGTGTTTATTTAAGCTGTTGTTTTTTACATTTGGGCTACATTTGTAGCCCAAGCCCTTTGGAAGGAGATCTATTTCGTAGCCCATAGCCACGAAAATAAGCCCATACAAAAATTCTCCGCCGCTCTCATTTCTAATTTCTCATTCATTTATCCACAGCGTTATCCACAAACATCTACATCCACAGAAAAGAAAAAACAGAAAAGAAAAAATTCGCAATCTCGCACAATGGTGACCGTCAACTTCTCCCGAGCTCGTCCGACCGTCAGATCTGCTCGGGAGAGGTCAGATCTGACAGTCGGACGAGCTCGAGAGAAGTTGACGGTCACCATTGTGCAAGATTGCGAATTTTTTCTTTTCTGTGGATGTGGATGTTTGTGGATAACGCTATGGATAAATGAATGAGAAATCAGAAATGAGAGCGGCGAAGAATTTTTGTATGGGCTTATTTTTTGTATGGCTTATTTTCGTGGCTATGGGCTACGAAATGGATCTCCTTCCAAAGGGTTTGGGCTACAAATGTAGCACAAATGTAAAAAGACAACCGATTAAATAAACACACACAATTTATGTAGTTTAAATTGTATAAACTAAATTAAAATTTTATTAAAATTATATCTTTTTCTATAAAAAAAAAAAAAAATTAATTCTTACATTAAAAATATAAATCAAAGAAAATTTATTTTATTAAAAATAATTATATATGTATACCATGTCCGGTCGCAGATCCGACCGTCCGCCGGCCTCCAGATCCATCCATCACCGGATCTCTCCCGCCGGCCACCAACATACATATAGACCACCACCACACATATAGACCACTACCGGAGTATGGAGATGGCATGGAGATCTCCAATCTCTTCTGCCGAATAGCTAAATTATATCTCCATATGGTAAAATAACTAGAAAGAACTACCTGTTACCTGTTGCATGATCTTGGCAAATTCGGAAAACAATGCCTTTTGACTCGAATCACCAAATATTTTATCGAGCGTGATGTCTTGTAAGGAAATCAACGTTGTTTCCAGCATGTCTAGGCCAGCCTGATTCGCGAATACAAATATTGGTCGAGCCTGTGATCAAAGGAGCTCCTTGTAATTCGAGAATCTAACGGGGTTTAATTAACAAATTGTCATAAATTCTATGTACAGAACAATTTTAGAATATTCATGTGTACCTTCAGAGAGCAGCATAAGATGGCATCTTGATGATGCCAAAGTGATTTTAATGCCGAGTCACAACTCAGCGAGTCGGTTCTTAGCAACTCAGTCCCCACATGAGATCTGCGAAGTAATGCCAAAAACACACGATCGATATTTAAAGAAAACAAAGTGAATCACGATCGATATTAATAAGCACACAATATCCAGTACCTATAGCTCTTGCTGATCCAATGTGCAAGAATTGAGGCTTCAGGAGAGCCAGCAGAGGACATAATGGGCCCAACAGTGGGCCCAAACCCGAATGGGGATAAGGCCAATGCAACCTTTTGTACGGATGAGATCACGCCATGCACATAATGTCGAGCCATTGTGGCTACAGTGTCGTGTAAATTGCTGGCACATGGGAACTGGAAAGCAATTGTCAGTATCGATCGTGGGCTGTAAGATGGGCTGCTGTTTTCGGCGGTATGGCCCGTTTTTGTTGTTGGGTCCACATCGAGGCCCGATGTCAAATCGAGCGTTTTATGTGGCATCAATGTATTATCCTTCGGCTCACCCTGTGATAAAAATTTTCAACATTATACCATTGATAAGTTTTACGATGATAACCGGTTGGACACTTCGAATAATAAAATCAAAAGGAAAGAAAGAACAAAAGATTATTACAAGCAAAATGTTCGTAAAAAAACTCAACTGAATTCGTATCGAGAGGAACTATGCGGAAACCGGAAGGCAGCAAAGGTGCATCATCTGGAAACATCTCGTCTATTGGTGCAAAGACGAGTTCCGAGCAAGCTCCCACTGCATTCTCATCGATCCCACTACACATCTGCATTATA